AAAAAAAAAAAAAAAAAAAAAAACAGGTATGTCACAGAAAACAAACACAAATGGTAAACTAATATATGGAAAGATACTCAATTTCCCAAGTCATCAGGGAAATCCAAATTAAAACCACAATGAGATACCATTTCACACCTCCCAAATTGGCAAAAATTAAAATCCCATAATACAAGAATTGGCAAGGATGTTCAGCAATAGAACATTTGTGTTCTGTGGGTGAGAATGAACATTAAAAAAAAAAAAACAACTTTAGAAAGTAATTTGATAAACCTAGTCAAGTCAAACATGGGAATACCCTGTAACCCCAGCAATTTTACTACTAAGTATATACCTGAGAGCAACCTTTTAATCTTTGGCCAGGACCCACATCAATACATTTTACATCCTGACACACACACAACTGAAACAAAAGTTTCATGAAACTTTTGCAATAACTCTATTTATACTGTGTGCAATAACTCTATACTCCATTTCATTTAGTGTCATCCACTATATAGATTTCATAACTCACTATTGCAGTGGTTCTTAATATTAGATGCACATTAGAATCCCCTGAGGTATTAAAAAAATTAAAAGCAAAACCAAAACTGATGCCCAGGTAAGCTCCTGAAGACTGATTCAATTGGCCTGCGATGGAGCTTGGACACAGATTTATTTAATTAAGCTTCCCAAGAGATTCTAATAAGCAATTAGAATCAAAACGACCTGATGTCTGAAAAGCACTGCCCTAGAAAAATATTTCCACATGTCCACCGAGAGATATGTTCAAAATTACCCATAGCAGCATTGTTCATGAAAATAATCCAAATGTCTACACATAGGAGACCAGGTAAATAAACTGCCATCTATTTATACAGTGTACTAGTGTACAGCAATGAAAATGTGCTACAGCTACATACATCAACATTAGCAGTAAAAAAGAACTACAGCTATATATATCAACATAAATCTCAAAAACATGAGGTTGAGTGAAAATATACATCCTGAAAATATGCATATACTGTAGTATGATTCCATTTATAAAATGTTCCCAAATAGGCAAACCCAAACCATATATTATTTGGGGATATTAAGTCATAAGATTATAATAAAAAGCAAGAAATAAAAAATGCAAAATTCAGGACGGTAGATATTGTCGGGGGAGGAGGAGGAGGAAGAGGAGGGGTAGGATGGGGTGTGGCCGATGGGGACTTCAGGGCATACTGGTAAAATTCTATGTTGGGTGGTGGGTACAAGGGTGTTGATTAAAATATATACATTATGTATATTATACTCTTTTGTGGATGATGTCACCACAAAACTAAAAACTTAAAGCAAAATTCTATTTATGTAAAGTTCTAAAACAGGCTGAACTGATCAAAGGTGAAAAATCAGACAGAACTTTCCCAAAGGTCGGGGAGGAGTAGATTCTTTGGGACACAATGTGAAAGAGTCTTCCAGGGAGATGGAAGTGGTGTATAATATGATAGAAGGATAATGATTATGGCTTACATAGGCCTGTCCATTTGTCAAAACCATAGTTAATTTTCATGCATTTCAATATATGTAATTTTAACCAAAAAAGTAAGTGGAGAAAGAATGATAATTGTTGAAGCTGGGTTACAAAGGTTCATTAGACTGTTACACTTTGTATAGTTTGACATTTTCTATTTTTTAGAGAAAGAAAAAAAGGAATTAGATAAGAAAGGCAAAGCTTTTTTTTTTTAAAGAGCTTGTAAAGTTTTAAGATTAGCACTAAAAAGTTATTAAATCTTGAATATAATAAGCACAAGAAAACAAAAGACTTCAGAAATCACCAAAAAAATTTTAATGGATGTTAATTACAGACCTCAAAAGCTGATAAACCTGAAGGCAATCAGAGCCTTCCCTAGGACCCCCAGGTACCCTCACCCTCCCTTTGTCAGTGGGGGACCTTGAATTAGTTACCACTGGTAAGTATTAATATTTCTAGGAGAAAAGAAAAGAAAGGGGAGTTAATGAAGGAGGGTAAAACTGGAAGATTCTCAGTATGATCAGAGAGAGAGGCATGCTCTGCTACATTTATGTAAATGCGTGTTCAATTTGCTCACAAACCCCACCACCCTACCATTTACCCAAAGTGCGGGACTGTCCACACTTTCTCCTTCAGTTAGTGCTCTTCTCTTCCCCTTTCCAAGGCTGTCCCCAAGTACATGCTGTTATCCTATCTTGAGCAGTCTCCTACCCCAGTTTTGCATTCTGCTCTCCATAGGCAAGTAATATCAATCTTTTGATCAATTTCTTCTGGTACTAACCACCATAAATTTTTTTCTAACCTCCGCAATTATAAATACTGTGTTTACACAGCCATTTTTAGGTTTTCTTACTTTAAATACACTGATTTACAACTACGGAAGATTACAGTTTAGTGCTCTCCAACACATCCACTTTTTCTGCCTTCTTCCTACGCATATTTTTTGGTTCATTTCCTGATTTCCCCCTTTATCTTTTATTTAATCCAGTCTAAGTAGATACACTTTTCATTCTCAAACATGTGAAATACACATGCTACCACTTCTGTTAAATAAACTTAAAAAACATATTTTCATGAGGCTTTTCAGAAACCTCATTTCATGAGGTTTCAGTTACAACCTCATATGAAATCTTAAAAATAAGAGGAAAATTAGAAATAAGAGATATACACTAAAATGAACAGTTTTTCAACTGCTCAATGATTATTATATCCTGCTGGCATATCTAAATTCTCTAAGACTTGAGTCTCTATTAATATTAACTATATTACCTCATTCAAATTTTCATTGATTATGTATTTTCAACTCTCAAATTAAATGTGTATTTATTATTATATACAAAGCACTGTTTTCGTCCACTAGGGTTTACCTCTCCATGTAAACTTAGACATATATAAGTGGAAAAATATCTTTACCTCTACTTATATCTATTACTAGCTGTCAGAGCCATACTGTCATGCTTAATATAATAAAACAAACTAATCCCTAACTTTTATTCTAAAATCCATTACAGTCCATAATCCCTTATCCAATTCTAAAATCCATAAAGCTCTGAAAACCAAAAGTTCTTTCTTTAGGTTTGGCACCAAAACAAATTTAATGAATTCAACTTACGTGAGACTATTTATAGTCTTTATTCTACTTTGGGTGACTAGACCAGTGGTTCTTAACTGGAGGCAATTTTGCCCCACAGGGGAATTTGGCAATGTCTGGAGACATTTTCAGTTGTCACAACTGGGTAGGAGGTGCTACTTACTAACATCTAGCAGGTAAAAGCTAGAAATGGTGCTTAACATCCTATAGTGCACAAGACAGAGCCCTGCAACAAGGCATTATTTGGCCCCCAAATGTCTATCTTACTGAGGATGAGTAACACTGGACTAGACTCTTGTTTATGGAAGATCCATTTATGTGTTGACTACTGAGTGTTGCCTCAGATGAATCTGAGGGTATTATAGAATACATGATAAAAAGACAGCATTACTACTACTCAAAAGTCAGAAAAACTCTTAATTCCAAGCCACAGTTGGCTCCTGAGATTTCAGACAGGAGACTGTAGACTTTATATTTCCATTCTTCTAATAGCAAGTCTTTCTCAAATATCACGAATCTCATTAGTTAGGAAGCCATGAACTGTGGTCGACGCCTCAGAAAATGAAGGAGGGGAGTACAGAAATTCACTGGACATAACAAATAGAATGAGCAACAACTTTCGTTTTATTCTTTTCCATTACAGTTTAAAATAAACTAGCCTTCCTATTTTTTTCTTTTTTTGACTGCACCGCGTGGCTTGCGGGATCTTAGTTCCCGCCAGGGATTGAATCCGCACCCTCAGCAGTGAAAGCACAGAGTCCTAACCACTGGACCACCAGGGAATTTCCAAACTAGCCTTTCTAATAGTGCCTATATACCACCATCAATTGTATGTTTACTGTTCTCACTATAAAAGATTATCAGCTTATTATACTTTAATTAAAAAGATATCAAAACCAATAACATAAAATAATAACTGTGACTCTTGAAATCACAGTAGCTATTTACCTTTCTCTGTGCTTGAGAATATAGAGATGATTTTATTCCTGGGCTTTTTTTCCTCTGGAACAGAGGGCAAAGGTTTTAAACTGTGATTGGCTGACAAAGGGTCTTTGCCTCCAGTGCTAAAAATGGTACTGCTCATTCGCACAGGGGGTGCTGGAGGCTTGTCTTCCAGTTCTCCGTTATCAGACATGATTCAGAATTATGATATGGCCTGAAACAGAAAGGCAAAAACATACAGTTAACAACAAGGTAAAAAATAGTATGGACAGGCACAAAACAGTACTAATTACCTCCCCAACTTCAAATTAGAAAATGTTACCCATTTAAAGCTGTAAAACTTAAGAGATGAAATTAGTTGCAATATAGGCAATCTCCCCTAACAAAGTTGGTAAATGGCTAGCTGAGGGAACCTTTGAAAAGTCATATCTCATTAAGAGGACTATGATAGTTTTGGGGAAGCAAGATGACACTAACATATCAGAGTATATCCACCTATTCACTGGTTCCAAGAGTAAATGTTCCAATGAACAGACAACACAGAGTCTTAAAAAAATAATAATTTGAAGAGGAAGACTATGCCCTGACCAGCCAATAATAGTATATGTGTCTCTGACAGGTCTACTTCTAGAGCAGAGATAGGATGCTTGCTACTAAAAATATCAACCAATAGCCTCCAAACTGATTCCATGCTTGCTAGCTTTGTCATTACAACTTAACCTCAATATAAACTTTCGTAAAGGATAGGAACGTGCCACTGATACAATATTTGGTTTCTCTGAAAATCTGACCATCTAACTACATACGTTAGTCCCTTCAAGTCTGAGAACACTGACAAAAGTAAATCCAGAGTTTGGCCAAATCCCAAGGTTCTGTCATCCTGTGATGCCCTGTCCAGGCTGTCAAGTTACCCTCCTTATCCACATGGCTAATTCAGCAGAAATGTCAACCTTGTTTACATATATGTATACACATCTATTTTACGTCTTTAAAAAAAAGTAGATTACACACATTTAAAATCAGCAGTGAAGGAGAGGGGATGCCTAACTTATAGATGAGCTCTGATACAAAAGTATATATGTTAGGAAATAATACCTCACTAAACAAGATTTTGATTGATAATTAGATCCTGATTTGATTATAACATTATTTAATATATGTAAGTGAACAAAACTTTGTATATGTACAATGAAAAGAATGCAACTGTTTTTAGATAAAATTAATAATAATTTAAAAGATTTTTATTTAGTCTGAATGCTAGTATCTGAAGAATAGTAGGTATAATTTGAAAAGAACTGAGGGATGAAGAATTATACCTAATTCCATGCCAAATCTTACAGCTTTTGTTTCCCTTGATAGAGGTATGTCAAAGCACTACTGTATAATTTATATGTCATATGACAGTTATTTTTCAGCCTACAAGAGGAAGAATGAAAGGTAAAGGGAAAAATAAACATTTCTGGAGGTAACGAGCTGGAGAAGAGAGAAAGAAAAGATTTATAACTGTGTATGAGAAAGACTGCCTGAAGTGAAATTAAACTACTGGTGCTCAAAGGAAGAAATGGGGGTAGGATCTAAGAAGGTGGTGTGAACAACATACAGTCAGATGATTCTTCCAAACCAGCTGGTCACATCATGTGGATTACTTGATGAATTGATAAAATCAAGACAGATATTTAGCTTTTATGTGACCAAACATTAAGGCAAAACAGATTAACCCTAGAGTAGCTCACTTTTATCTTAATCAGTTACAATATAGAAACCACACGTTTAGATTTTGATTACACTGTGAATTGCTCCTATTTAAAAATCAGGGTAACAAAATTCCAAAATACATTTGCATGCATTTACAGAAGGAAATGCACCAAAACATTAACAGTGGTTATCTGTGATTAATAAGTAATTTTTAAACTTGATTATAATCAGCATAGCTGTGGTTAAAAAAAGATCAATATAAAACAGGGCACAATAATTATTTAGTGTAAACTGCTACAAATTCTATCCTTAAGGCTGGCTCATAAATGGAACATAACTAGAAATTGGCAGTGCACCTTCAGCTGCATGTTGTCCAGTACTGGGTTGTGGAATCAGATTGCTTTGGTTGGAATCCTAGTTCCATCATTTACTTAAGTGTGTGACCTCAGGACTAAACTGTGCCTCAGAGTTTCTTAGAGAGATGGCTGGTTCTAGGCTGGACAGGGAAAATACAAGATGAGTCTATAGTGTCTTATAGTGTCAGAAGATAAGGAAGTACTTATAAAGGATGAGGGCATGTCAAAAGGACACAGGAAAGAGTTCCCAAAAGCCAATACTGGAATGATTTGAGCAATAAAATTAATAAAGTAGTATATAATCCAAAGTATAAAATAAGGATACATAATTCATATCGATACAAAAAAAACTGAATAAATAAAATGGGGTGGGGGGACAAATCTTCCTTACAAAAGAATTCCAAATAATATATATGTAGATACATTCCCTTCTAGGAGTGGGAACTTAACTTCCCTCCCCATTTGACTGTAGGCTAGACTTCGTGACTCATTTCCAAAGAAAAGAGTATGGAAAGGGGAAAATAACACCACAATGGAAAAATCTGGCATTAACCAAGTGATCAAGGTTAACATCACTAGTGATAAGTCACAATGACATCATTAATCTCCTGACGTAATGTGATGAGGAGCACAATCCACCTCTGTGGTATTCTTCCCCAAGCCCATATCTAGTCATGGGGGGAAAAATCAGATAAATCCAAACTGAGGGACATCCTACAAAATTCCTGACCAACACTTCTCAAAACCGTCAAGGACATGAAAAACAAAGACGGATTGAGAAATTATTATAGCACAGAGGAGGCTAAGGAGACATGACAATGTGGTATCCTGGAATTGAAAAAAAGACATTAGTGGAAAAACAGGTGAAATCCAAATAAAATCTAGAATTTAGTTAATAATAATGTACTAGTGTTGGCGTCTTTGCTTTGAGATACATTTTATGGTTTATGTAATGTTAATATTAGGGGAAGATGGGTGATAGTTATACAGGAAATCTACTATCTTTGTAACTTCTCTGTAAGTCTAAAATTATTCAAAAATAAGAACTCTAGGGGCTTCCCTGGTGGCGCAGTGGTTGAGAGTCCGCCTGCCGATGCAGGGGACACGGGTTCGTGCCCCGGTCCGGAAAGATCCCACATGCTGTGGAGAGGCCGGGCCCGTGAGCCACGGCCGCTGAGCCTGCGAGTCCGGAGCCTGTGCTCCACAACGGGAGAGGCCACACAGTGAGAGGCCCGCGTACGCAAAAAAAAAAAAACAACTCTATTAAAAAAGGAATAAATTCCTCAAAAAGTTAAATATAGAGTAACCTACCATATGACCTAGCAACTTCACTTCCAGTATATGCCTAAGAGAATTGAAAACACATGTCCGCACAAAAACTTGCATATGAATGTTCACAGCAGCATTATTTGTGATAGCCGAAAGAGGAAAACAACCAAAATATCAACGGATGAACAGACAAAATATGCCATATCTATACAATGGAATACTGTTTGGCCACAAAAAGGAGTCAAGTATTGATACATGCTACAACATGAAATAAACCTTGAAAACATAAGTGAAAAAAGCCTGACACAAAAAGACCACAAATTATAAGATTCCCATTTACATGAAATGTCTAGAACAGGCAAATCCACAGAGACAGAGAGTAGATTAGTGGTTGCTAGACAGTGAGGGGAATGGGATGTGACTTTGGGGGAATGAAAATATTCTGGAATTAGACATTGGTAACAGTTGCACAACCGTGTGAATATATTAAAACCACTGAACTGTACGCTTTAAAATGGTAAATTTCAGCTATGTGAATTACATCTCAATTTAAAATAGGAATTAATAATATTTACCTCATAAAGATTAAATGAGTTAATAATTGAAGGCTGCTACAATTACTATCATGATATTATTATTTATAAGATTCTATGCTAGAAGTTGGAGAAAAGAAAAGAGGACTTAATTCTTCTCCAAGAGTTCATAATCTCCTGGGAAAGACCAGCACATACATATTTAAGTTAGGTTATGCCCTTTATCAACATTTGTTCTCAACACATGCACATTAAAAGCCACTTTGTTTCTTCAAAGCAGCAGTTCTCAAAACATTTTGGCCTCACGACCACTTCACACTCTTAAAAATTACTGAGGATCTCAATTTTTGTTTATGTGCGTTCTACCTATATTCACTATAAGAAATTAAAATAAGTTACTTTTTACTTCATTAAACCCATTACATTACAATGTTATTCATAAATAACATTTTTATGAAAAATAACATTTTCCAAAAACAGAATATAGTGACAAGAGTGGCATTAGTTTACTTTTCTGCAAATCTTTTAAATGTCTGGCTTAGTAGAAGACAGTTAGATTCTCATATCTGCTTCTGCATTCAATTTATTGTGTTATGTTTTGGTTGAAGTATATGAAGAAAATCTGGTCTTACACAGATATGTAGCTGGAAAAGGGAGTATTTTAATAGCTTTCAGATAATTGTGGATATTCTTCTTTGATACTACACCAAACTCAACCTTCATAAGGTTAGCTATGGACTCTGAAACCACAGCAATAAATTTTTTGTACTCTGTTACATTAAAGCCATTGAATTCTCTTGCACTTTGAATGGATCTTTTACCCATGAATGAATTTTGTAATGTCATGAATTGATTATCTGGAAAGTATTGGCTCACTCAATTATTAAGATATTCCAATGTTGACACTTCATTATACAATAAAAATAAAATCACATTCATTAATATCACCACTGATCTCATCAGAAAAGTCTAGGTATTGGGAACCTGTCAAACTCAAGAAAGTGAATACAAGTTTTCTAAAACTCTAATTTTCATTTGAAAATTTAAATTTTATCAATTAACAACAAATTCCGTCACTTCATTCATTTTCGAGAAAATGTCTGCCAAATACCTAAGTCTGAACAACCAGAGTTGTTCAGTGGGCCAGTCGTTCTTTCAAATAAAAATGGTGTTCCAGGAAATGGGGCCTTTTTAAGCTCAATCATATAAGTGGTTTTCTGTAAGACAACCATTTCATACTTCATAAGTACCTTATGAGTACTTCCCATTTTGCTATACAAAATAAAAGTAAACTCAAAAGTAGAGATATAATAAGATTAGTAATTTTACTGTTTCAAGTACATTCTTAGGTGAAACTGGCT